ATTATCCGGGGGTTAATTGAGAGGCGCATTAAGTTTTACCCAATTACATTAACTCCGGGTTAGTGAAAAAATATGCGAAGCTACGCGTGCGGCCGTAGTCTCTCTATGCTCGGATTAATTAAAATATACTTAAATGGCGTACCGTTAATTTTCAACGGCTAATTTAATGCCCGCCTGGCCTCAGATTTAATCCAACGCCAACACACTCGCCAGGAATGCGCGAACAAATTGCTTTTAAGCTCGCCGCCATATTCATGTTCCGCGTTTGGAACGGATCCGACAATAACCAAAAGTATAACGGGAGCACATACTAATAATAAAGGCATCATAAATAATAATAATAACAAAAATATATACAAAAAAATTATAAAGAAAGAAATTGTGCAAAAAAATGGCATCAAATTATCTGCCATAATTACCTCCCGTTCTCTCGCGAACAATTTTATAAGTAATTATCGTTCATATAACAAAATTATCATATATAAAACTTTCTGGGACGCATGTTATCAATATTTATGCTAAATTAATGTCGTTGTCATCATTGTTTGTACTCGACCCATTGAAAGCCGTTTAATTTCGATAAAAATGCGACGGTTAAATATGCTTCTGTCAATGTGCCGAACATAGGGTTGCGTAAGAACTGAGTAAACAGAAATTGCAGTATGATTGGGAACGAATTTATATCCGGGTGGGGTTGTGTGAAATAAAGCGATCGGTCCCGGCGTCTGTTCGATTTTCATGGAAATTATAATGGCTCGTCGCTGTTCCTCCGAAAGTGCCGTACACCGAAATTCCATGAAAATTCGTTTATCGCGAGCGGGCAGACACGACACGACAAAATTAATCGACGCCATCGACGCACTTTGATGTGGAATTTTAACGCTTTTTGCGCTCGATGTATTCCCGCTATTTGTTCCCCTCCAGTCGACTTTTTTACGCGGATGATTGTTAAACCATAAAAAGGAAGTCGTTACAAATGACAAACTAATTACACTGTTCAACGAGGATTTTGATTTTTTGCTTAAATTAGGTTGTCCTTTGGATATTTATTCACAATTTTCCAATGTGACATTAAAATATTTCTTCGTTACAATAAGTTTCAAATATTATTTGCAACTTAATTTTTCCATTAGAAAATTAGGCTAGGTAAATTATGAGCTTTGATCCAAGCTGAAGAATGGGCCGTAAGTCTCATATCTTTGTGTGTTGCAATTTCAATTTCGTCTTATCTCTGCCGGTCTCGGCATCAGTTCCCATGCCGTAAATCACGATTCGGGGGGAAATGCACAGTCCATGTCACCGCCGTGCCAATCGAGATCGGGTTTCGAATGTATCTCCTGCGAGATTGACACTTTATTGCGGTCGTATATACGAGATTAGGGGAGACGGCATTCCACCATTCACCTATGCTCGGACTTTCTAGGCGTTACTTCTGGCGGCGCGGCGCGGCGCGGCGCGGCGCGGCGTCGCCAATTCAATATGTGAACTTGTTGGATTTATCGGATTGCCCTTACCCTCCAGCCTTAGCTGGCTGCTGAGGCTCGTATTTGCGTCACGCTTCTTCTACAAATTGCCGACCTGAGCAAAATGTCGTATTTTGTTTCCTTCCGACAAAGAACCTGCTGAACAGTAAGTGCAACACTGCACTTACACGCGCGCCGATCGCCAACAATCGATTTCAATGTTTCTCAAATCATAAAACGTACAGTAAGATAAGAATCTTGGTTTTGTTATCAAAATGTACCTCTAAGATGCCAATAAGTAATACAATTATAACATACAACAAAACAAGTTTTACTTTTATATATGTAGAATTAATGTACACATTTGAATAAACTTTTCTATAGTTACGACAAATATATAAAATGGTTTCAACTATGTACAATACAAGTGCGTTTGCAATATTTTAAATTAAAGCGCGTGAATGCAATCGAGAAAAGTGAATCTAGTAAATATTGTTCTTTAGTTGAAGTGGCGATCGAGGCTATGAAAAACTGGTGTTGAGATGTCTCTGAAATGGCGCTACATCAATTAATTTTATCGAATGAACAAGAATCTAAAACCTGAGGGCAAATATATCGAAAAACAATGGAGCAACAATTATTCATTCTATTTGCCAATTTGCGGAAATTTTCGACGTCGTCTATATATTCATATAGGTATAAATTATTAACCTGATACTAAAATATTGTTTCCGAATAAAAAAGGTCGAAATATTTCGGCTGTATGTTTTTAGCGCGACTATATATAGTCCAACAGGTAGGGATAACTACTATAATCGGCTAACATGGCCGACCAGCACGAGAATCGAAACCGTCGACAGTGGAGCTGGCCGGAAATCGATTACATCCAACAGTAAATAAAATAAATCGACGATTTAAGCGGACGTAACGGCACACTGCGGACGACATTAAATAGGATGACAGAATGTAGTACAGGTACAGAATACACAGTACGAACACATAGTAGAAATGCGTGCCGCGTGGTGTTTTTCACGGCGGTTTTGAGTATTTTTCACAGCGTTTTTGTTTCAGTTATGAAAACGCCATGCGTGATCGGCGCATTTACCGCGTACGTTTTAGCTAGCTCGATGCTGTTCATAAAACGCAATATCCGGCTTTACGAGGTGCTCAGCGCGAACGGCCACGCTTCTAAATAATGATACAACTCGTTCGGCTAGTTGATCATGGCGCCACGTGTCCGCGGAAAAAAATCCATAAACGTTGCTTCGCTTTGCTGGATTACTCTAACAGCGGCACTTAAATATCCCATCCAATCGTTAATTAAATGACACGCGTCGATCACCGGGTCATGGATCACGGATCGATAAATTCCACTCGGACGCACGGCGATCGTCGCGCGGCGCGCTAATGAATACGCCGAGCTATATTCGCTGAACAAGCGGGCAAGCGAGCATTTCGTTTCACATCAGATTCCAACGGTAGTATATGCGATTTAATGTAAATATCGCCGATACAGCGGAAGCGATATTTATTTTATATGCGATACGAAACGTGCGTGGTAAATTGTTGATATGTAAGAGTTTTGAATAGATGCTAATAAAAAAACACCAATCACAGAAGTAATAAATACCTTTCAAAGATATAGAGAAATTTCTTTTTTCAACAATATTAATTTCTCACAAAATGTTTCATTTTTTTATCAATAATTATAAAAGATTTATTATTTCAATCCTCTTTTTTTATACTCAAGTATCAAAAAATCGAATACGATTCGTTCCATCCAGTTCTATTCAGTTTGAAACAAATAACTTTCATTTCAAAGCATTAAGTGACTAACGTGCAATAACAACGATTAGATAAATAATGGATTTTCCATTGAAAAAACTTTATCCAGATATCAATGATTTAATGCCAATAATGAGTAGAAAAAGATCAACTGCGTATTCAGTTAAATAACGTTGTAAGAAACATTCGAAAAGCTATTATTATCCTGCACACATTCAAATTTAAAATAAGTCAATCACATTTAACATATCAAATGCTGCAGATGATGAAATAATTGATCGCAATTAAACATTTATTCCTATTCATCACCGACGACATATTCATTGGCAAAACCACGAACCCCATCTGTTAGAAATCTGTTCTATCCACAGTTTCCAATTAAATATCGCCACTAGGGATATCCGAGGTGCGACAGTTGATCTTTCCATCTCCGCCTAGCCTAGTCATCCAACTCCACGCAGACGTGTCACTTGCAGAGATCGCAGCAGGTAAACGTGCAGCGGTGAGACTAGCCGAGGCATCGACGTAGGACGCCGCGCCGGTGCTATCGATCTACTGATCGTGTAACCGGCAGAAATCGATAACTAATACGCGAAGCCCGCCACCGGATGTTGCCTTGTTGATAAAGGACCGCCCTGCGAGCACCGGCGCGGCATCAAGGACGCCGCAGGAGGGCCGTAGGGCACGCGGCTACCGGCACATAATTGATTGGCATTAGCGCGCCTGATTGCCAGTCGCCCTCCTCTGAAATCGTCCCACGGGCTGCTTAAATACTAGCCAACGTCTCTCTGAACCAAACGGTACGTATTTGAGCGGTTGCGACAGTAATCAGGCAATATGGTACGCGCGGCGAAGGAAGGTCAATTGGCGAAGGCGGCTATAGGTTTCGGGCTCGTCGGTTGCTTTCCTATAACGTTGACGTTGAATAATTCCATGTACACAGACTAGTATACTGTTAATAAACGAAGCGGCTCGTCGTTTATCGTACATTTTCCTGCCCGTATACATACGGGTGAAACTAAATGAAATTTAACAACTATCAAATCATCAATTTCCTCACAAACATTATAAAATCGGAAATAAAAATCGGTATAGAAATCAGTATCTCTATGAAAATAGTCGATATTTTCAGTTTTTTCACGTTTATGCGGGTACTTCTTATCAAGGATCGTGTCAACCCTTTTGTTTCGTGAAAAAAAATCACCCTCAATCTATACGAGTCTACATACCGGTTGGAATCCGGCAAAAGACGGAAATCAGTTTCATGCGTGAGATAAAAAAAATCTACAACACAGAATTTCTTTTTTTTCTTTTTCAAAACACGTTTTCATCTCTATGGAAATTATTAAATAAATAAATTGAAACAAAATTTTTAAAAAATACAGAACGTTAAAGTTAAAGTGACAGTTACTAAATTGGATCTTGAGTTTTCTTGAATAAATAATATTTTATTAAAAATTGTAGATTAAAAACTTATTATTCTATAAAAACCCATTATTCTATAAATCAGCTTTCATCAAGTATTTCATTCGTTGCGACGTGACAAAAAGTAAATAATAATTTTAAAATTTGTTACCTTATATAAAGGTCATTCTTATCAAGAGTAAGATTGATCTATTGAGCTTCAATAACATCATGTACAAAATGTTCCTGGATAAATTGTTACAAGGCAGTATAATGTGTTGTGAGAAGTTGCCCTGTATTAAGCATACTTATTTTCTATAAGCAAAAATGTCGAGGAACTTCTCTCACCTGAAGACAGTGCCTCCTCGCCAACCAGCCTATGTGCTGAAGTTGCTGCGGATCCGGAAGTGCTGAGGCCAGTCGTAATGCTTTCAAGGTGAGGGCTGCCAACGCCGAGTGCAAAGCATTGAACCAGACGTTCGCTTCCGTGTTGTCAGCGGCTCTCAACCAGCATTCGTGGACACCATCAGGCGAGTGTAGTTCTAGGATACGTCCTTCTGCAACAAAAAGAAGAAAGAAAAAGTTAACGTAGTATTTCATGAAATTGCAAAAATTGTTGCACGTACATAATTTATATAGATGTGAATTGTTACATCTCGAACATAGCATATCCTCATTTCTGGAAAACTTTTGAAACGAACTTGATCCAGTCATAATTATTACAATAAAAATACAGATTTATACATATTTTTCTAGTACAACTTTATGCTAATTTTATGCATTTTATTTTTTCTAGAAAAATTATCAGTTGAAAATGTTTAGAAAGCAATATTTTCACACTCGTGTGAATTATTACCAACTAAAATATCAAATTTTGCCTATTCCTTAGAATACGTACGAAAGTAATTCAATTTACAATTCCATTCCTAAAAATCTATTTAACAATTTCATTACATCAAGAGCTATCGAAATAACCATCACAGGTTTTTCTTTTTCGTGAAAGTTGGGTGCTGTGAGTTATACGTGGCAAAAGCGAGACAAGCGACGGCACCAAAATTGAAGTTGCTTAGCGTCGCTCCTGGTAGCTTATAAACCTTCCTCTCTTTTCGTTAACACGAAAACTTTAATACGTCTGACATAAATCGCGCGAGATCGGTCACGAAGGCCTGGAATAAGTTTATAATCGGAATATCGCCGGTTCTGGAGATTGTCTCGCTTCTCGACGTCCCACATAATTCGTCTACATGCACTACAAGCCTGGAGAACTTTGCAATTTCCTGTTTGGCTAGTTTCTAGATTTATTATGCTAATACTAGGCTTGTTTTTTCAGCGCCAATAACAATACTACTGCAACTATATACAAGCCTGTTATCGATCCGAAACATAATACAAATAAAACTTTTAGTTTTTACAATTTATTGATTTAGAGCAGTTCTTATGGTTTAAAAATATTTTACCGCTAAATAAATAATTATTAATAATTATTGAAATTTTGACATACAGGTGATATGACTAATATACGATTATATGACTATATAATAGAATGTTATTAAGTAATTTTTAAGTAAACTTTCCTTTTTATACAAATCAGTTTGATGAAACACTTTCACGAGCCGAAATTGCAACAATTTTTTTCGTTTGGCACCTCAGATTCACGTCAAACTCATCGGCATTTCGTACGGAAACATACCTCGACGTGCTCTTTTTTCCGATTCCGTATATACGCATTCTAATCGCCCTCTATCGAGAAACGGCGCGGAAAGTTCCGGAAGCAGCAAACTCGCGCTACGTGTGCGGAAAGGCGCGGCGGCCGTAAGAAAATATTGAATTTCCGATCAAAAGGAAATTACGCTCGAGTTAAAAGCCCCTTTATGTCACTCCCGTCTGCCCGGCCTTTTCTGCCTAAAAAGAGGCAAACGAGACGAACACTGCTCTTGCGAAAGGGGACAGAAACATTGGGAAACGTAGCGTGATGTCGAAATGATGGGATCACGTGATTAATGCTTTCTCTCGTCTATTTTATTGTAAAGGGAATTTAATCGATCAAGTATATTCCGTTTAATCCTGTAGCGGAAAGCAGGAAATTGGTATATCATAAGTTACAGCGTTTCAAGAGATATTGAATCATGTAGTACATGACGAACCTGCAACTCAACATACCACAACTTTACATTTTACATAGCTACGGTTAGAACAATGTACCAAAATGTAAAACAGAAATTAAAGTATAGACTCTTCTACAGTATTTTATTTTAAGTTCACGAAAATAAGCTGACACAATTAAAAATTTTATTACATCGATTAAAGTCATGTGACATTTGCATTCCATTGCACATTATATATTTAAAAAAATATCCGCTGCTGTCAAATAAAAAAAGTTATTTATAACAAATGAGATTACCGTAAAGTTTAACATTTGAATGTGTGATAATCCCACTCAAGTGTAAATGTATTCAGTAAAAAAACTGTAAAAAATAATTTTAGATAATACGCCATAGTATCGTTCTTGTCGAGTAATAGCCAGCCACTTTTCAGCAAACACGACTAATGCCGTGCTATCCAACCGAGTAAATTCTTTGCCAAAAATCATCTACCGTAATCTTATCTGTCTAGCGTTACGTATACATATGTAAAGAATGTCATATATACATATATACATAATATAAAATGGCATATCTCTAGGTTGTTTCATAAAAGATATAGAAATTTGAAGTGCGGCAAGTGCCTCAATTCTCTTATCTGAAAGTTGTACATACATACGTCACGTGATTTAAAAAGAACAAAATAGGAGCATTTCTTCAAGAATTCTATCTTTATATTATACAAATATCAGTGTTCTGAAGATCCAGACATATCTCTTTTGCGAATAATTCAGTATTGGTAAAATTAACACATCTATTTGTCAATCGTGAAACGTGCCTTTGCATGGTTTTCTCATGTTAACTGTGTTATACGAAAAAGAATTTCTTTGTGGTTTTTCACATACGGTGCGTGCCTTTTCGCCAGAATGCGTACTCTTGTAAAATCTATGGAAAATTGCTTGATTTGCGTCAAACACAGCGCTGCGAAAAACCTTTATGCTCGTTAAAAATACAAAAGAAAAGATGCAGAATATACAAAGGAAAAAAATAACAATTACAATTGTAGTAAAATTGTAAAAATTTTCACATTTGGAAAGAAAAGAAAATTAAAATTAAAACTAAGAATAAGTTTGACTATGATTTACTATTTTATTAAAATGGTAGAATAAAAGAAAAATAATGATAAAAATCACAGAAAATAATCAATGAGTTTAGAGCAACACATGCGTACACATACGCACACAAATTCTTTGTATATAATTTTATTTCCCATTTACTTTTTTATAATCAGAGTTTCCTCAGTTTCTTCGAATTTTTAATTTTCTTTGTACAAGTCTCCGTATAGAAACTTTAATGTTACACAAACGCATTTTTGTCTGTACACTTGCAGGGTGCTTTATGCCGGAATAGTCTTTTCCGCGAGACGAACTGCTTCTCGTCGACGAACAAGATTGCCAAGATCCGCGAAAAATCTGCGAAGGCCTGATTCGCTCTAAAGAGCGGAAGGACGAGGGTGGCGTTTGGGTAATAAAATGTCGAAGCGACAAAGGCAGCGAAAGGACGAAGAGCAAGGGCTGAGAAAGACGAGATGCCCACAGTTCCGTACGAAGACGGTGGCTCAAAGGAAATCGAAATGCGCTCGCGTCATTTCGTTACCTCGCTTTCCATTCCTTTCCTTTACCTTCCACCTTCACCCTTGCGTTTTTCTTTTTCCTCGTAAGAGTGCGATTCCCCTTGAACGTAATTTTCCGGACATTCCATCGACCGGATTTCGCTTTCGTTTCTTGTTTTGCGCTTCGTATGCTTCCGCGAGTTCTCCAATTTGCTAGTCAAGTTCTGAACATATGAGCAAGATAAAAACAAGAACGGAAATGGAAATTATCTTTTATTTAATGGAAAAAACTGCGTTTTACCCTCTTATAAGTTTATTTATTTATTATGCAACTTGTTGCCCTTCTCCAATATCCAAAAAATGCACAAATTCCAATATATTTTTTAATTTAATTCCAATTCTAACCTCTTAAATTTTTTTTTCTATACATCTCTTGAAGCTTCATTAAAGTTAAAAGGAATCTTCGCGCTTTATTTGCCGCGCTTTAGCAACTATCACATTTTTCAAATAGTTAACTGTTTTTTATAAAGTTTATAAGACACAGGATCGCATGAAAAGCTGATGCGAGCGATAATGCACGTTGACGCATGGTTTATTACCGTTCATTTGATTTCATGCGGCGTTAATAACCGTGCCGCTTATAACATCATAATGTCATCACGTGATACGAAGTAATATGCGCAACCGTGCCTAGTTACATTCTATAACGTTCAATCAACGGAATCCTACGTACTTATTAACGGCATTATCACGGAATGGCACGTACCTATTAATTATATTACCGGAGCAAATAATTATCAATGTAATCACCAAGCCCACGTATAGTAATACCCATAATGTTACCAACCTAACATATTGCCAATTGTTCTATTTATCTATTTAGGTATGTATGTAGTATCACTTTCGCGCGAATACTCTTATCATCTTATGCTGTGAAAGTTAAATAATGTTTGTACAATTTATTCTAAACAGGCATCATTATAAATGAATCTAAATTAGGAGTTATAGAAATAATATAGGAACAATGTTTTCGTAAAAATATTATTTATTTAAAGTAAAAAAAAATTTTCTTCATTGGTTTCATTTATAACGTCTAATATTTTTTATCTTGGTACATATATATCCGTTATCAAAAATTCACTCATCCAAGTCTACAGAGACACAATTCCTTGCTTGCTTCAACCAGAGCACCGGAAGCTTCGATCCTTTTTAGAAGAAAAAGGATATCCATCGCTTTAAAGTTTGATGGGCCATCCGGCAGCAGAACGCCAACGTTGCTAACAACAACGACAAAGATGGCACACTCCAGCATGCTGTTCCGAGTCTCTTTATGCGCGCTTAATGCATTTTTGAAGGTTGGAATATCATAAAGACGAGCCTGTAATAAACTGCGCGACGGTGGCGCAAACTCACCTCCGATAACCACCCCGCTTCGTCCGCGGGCATCCGCTTTCTCAGCGTCTCGCATCGCGTGCTTCAATGTCTACGTGCGGGGAAGGTTCCGAAGACAAGCGGGTGGTTGTGGAGGGTGACTGTGGAGGATAGCTGCTAGCTGCATTATAAAGGAAAGTACCCAGAAGGGGGTTTTCAAGAGCGTGAGCGAGATGTTAACAGCCAGACAGCATTGTCGTCAAACCACATCCGCGTTTTCTAATCAGAGAAATTCGTTCCCCCCTCCCCCGGGGGAGTTCTCTTGTTGATCCTCCGTGACACCCAGGAATATAAGCAATCAGAAATATTAAACTGTTCCATAGTGCCTGTTAGCCCTTTAAAGAGATTGATGAAAAATATTTACATTTACCTTGAAATGAAATGAATTTAACACGACGACTAGAATCATAGCAAATTGTATTTATATAACGTC